GCAAACTACAGCCACGTTTTTCAAGTTGCCGCTGTCCCTATAGTGGCGACAAACCTGCCGGTTGATCGAGTAGAATTTCGCTTCTTGCTTCTTTTACCAGCTTCAAATATCGTGAAAGAAAGACAATACTGGAAAAAGCTCTGCTGCTGCGGATGGTATCGCACAATACAGACCAAATATTTGTATTTGCTTCATTCCACTCTGAGATGACGAAATTTAGAGCATGTTTACCCTAAGATATCGAACAACAAACCATCAACGAGTTTCTCTCACAGATGGCGCTGCCAAATGCATTTCTGAACCGATTTATAACAGGTCACATTGTAGGCATCTATTATGCGCTTCATCTTCACCTGAACAACATTCAATAATCATCACCTGTCTTTGTATAATGCGCTTCATCTTCGGCTCCGTCGGGTTTGTTCGCTCCTGAGTTCAATGCCAATAAACCCCGTCACAACCGAGTCATAATAAAAAGTCTGTTACGAACCCCTCTTCTAATGTTGCTTTTTAAACATGCGGGCAGTGCGATAATGCTCGACTGAAGCGAGCGTCGTGTGATGCGACAAGAACAAACAGGATAGACTGCTAGTGCCGATAAATACATGTGGTCTCCATTACCTCGTGCCGCTCCTAGCTTGCTGAAACATACATCTGGAAAAACAAAGTATGACAATTTCCTTAGCTAAAAGGTTTATCATATCATCAACACGGAACCAAGAACTCTGCTAAAATAAATTATTTGTTCAGCCAAAGGCAAGTACTTTCGGTAATTCTAGGTCAACAAGGCAATGTTGGTATGCTTCACTTGAAATTTATTAATAAAGTGTCAAGTCATAATGCACCTTTAGCACTCAGTTTTTATTCGCTTCATGATTTCCTCAACAATTGGCTGTAGAAATTTTATGGAAGGAAAAACAACATGCATACGTTAAGGATAGCCCTATACATGTGAATTTCATTAAAATCCTATGGGTACGAGCAAGGCAGTGTCCTAGGTTAGGTCAACTGTTTGCCTTTACTTGCATTTGTAAATAAACAGGTAACCTTTAGCGTTAGTTTAACTAAGCCATATTTTCAGCAATAGTGACGTGACACCTTACGACTCAGCCAAGCAATCTTCTGTTCAAGTCATAAACAGCATGTGATAATGAAGTATGCCACAGTAGGGGGGCCCTGGAAATTTCGACAATTTGGTGTTCGTTAACGAACAGTGGCATCTCGCAGTATACAGTCGTCTACAAATTCAGCTACTCCGAAAGGCGACCGCCGCAGACGAAATCGCACCCGCGACCTTCAGGCCGGCAGCAGAGCGCCCAACAATCACTGATCCACCGTGGCGAATAGTGTATACTCACCCTGAATCACGAATCGGCTTTGGTTTGTCGTATACATATATAAGCGATATATGCAGCCAGGCACTGAACAAGCTGTCCTTGGTGCGAAAGATACTCTTCGTAGTTTACACTTACTAAGGTGTGTATGCGCTTTGCAAAGCGCTCAACAAGTTGGATGACCGACATCTTTCGGACGATAGAATGCGGTGCTACCGGCATGATTTGTCACAGGGCCAGGCTTGTATAGACACGCCTATTGCTCCGGTACCATGAATATTCATGTCTCAGGTACTCTAAGTAAACTGAACTTCAAGAGGGAGCTGTGCTAGCACTAGTGCGTTTTCTGACTTTCACCGGTGTATCTGAAATGAGTCTCATCATAACTGCTTGCCTTTGTGTGCGTGTTTGTGTGCGTGTGTAAGCATTTTTTCGTTCCTATTGTTCTATACTGGATGTTTCAAAAATGTGTCCTAAATTCTCGCACATAAGGGCTTAGTCACTTAACCACCATGTCCACTCATTAAAATTCATTTATTTTAACTCTCAGGTACTGTCTGAAATGATATGTTTGATTGTAGTAGATGCCTGCAACCACAAAAAAGTTATTTTGAAGACATTGAACAAATATTCCATTTCCCTGATTGTTTTCTGGGATATTGGGCCTATTCTTGCAGCACTAACAAAGTATGCTGTACGTGATCAGTGTTCAACCTACGTCGTCTAACGGGCCACCGTCACAAAATTTAAGTCTTGCTGGGGCCGGGAAATCGAAGAAGGTTGAAATTTGTATGTTAAAAGGTGAAGGAATTGAACCCAATTTCTGCTTCCGTTACCACTTGAACGGAGCTATTTTGCACATCTCATGTATGGTTAGTCTCCGAAAGGTATACATTGGGCCTCAGGACTCGAGAAATATATCCACACCAATCTGCAGAACGATGAAAATCTGAACACCGATATCGGAACTATATAGCCTTTGTTGCATAGCTCTGTTTAACCCCATAATGGGGCGACAAAGAAATATGGGGTGAGTGCAGTGATGTGCAAACCGGGCCCAAGTCTTGACCATGCAGCCAACACAGGTCGCGTCAAACACCTGTTATCTACACTGAAACTTCCGAGTTTTCCAAAGCTCACGTGTCACATCTTTAAATGAAAAATGCTAATACACAAGTAACGGTGTATGATCGATATTCGTCTGACAGATCACTGACACATTTCGGGAGGGGAATACTAACTTCATTATCATTGAAGTATCACGCGGATTACAGTAGCCACGGTTGGTTTCTCTTAACAGTGGTCGTAAAATGGGGCTCTAAAAAAGATGAGCGCGCAGCTTCCTGCGCAAAACGCAGTTTTCTTAATCGAGTTCTCCTGCATTGTGGTGAAATGTGCAAACAGCAAAAACAAGTGACGGATGTTGGAAAGCGATTTCCATACGCTTAGCAGTCGCATCACAACTTCTACAGGAAGTAAAGCGACCGTACTCACGCGATTAATGTTACGACGATCAAATCAAGCTCAATATATAGGCTACTGCTCTTACGTTTTGAGTTGTTGTGACGTGATTCTTGGACATGTAACAAATAAAGCGCATTCTAACGAATTTCTCTCTCTCTCTCTGTGTTCAAGCAACTTGTTCAGTCTGAAAAATCATGTGCAACAAAGTGCGTCTCCGAATTCTAGCTGGCAGAGTGTATATATATATATATATATAATATATATATATATATATATATATATATATATATATAATATATATAATATAATATATATATATATATATATATATAACGAGGGTCTCGTACTGGCAGACTTGGTGTGTTTAGGTTGTATAAGAGGGGACAATATCAGCTGCCCGCTCATATTAAGTTCACGTGCTACGTGACGCCAAACATGCGCATAAGAGTGTTTTCACACTCGTTGTTTGGCTTATAGATGGCGCTGACTGTCGCTCCTACTTCTAAATTCACAGATAAACCCAAAAAAGTGGATGGAGGTAGGGCCGCTGTGATAGCTCAGTGGTTAGAGCATCGAACGCGTAATTCGAAGGTCGTAGGTTCGATTCCTGCTCACAGTTGGTAATTTTTTCATCCACTTTTCTTTCTTCTTATTTATATTCCATTGATTTTAATAACTTCCCCTGTACATTCCTTGGCATTACTGTCTGTTATATCTCATATATATGAATAAAAGAAGACACACGTCGAAAAACGGAAAGGTTTCTTTACGTTTTGTGGCCGTGGGGCCGGCCTTCGTCAGAATAACGACGAAAGCCGGTCCCACGGCCGAAACGTAAAGAAACCTTTCCGTATTTCGATGTGTGTCTTCTTTTATTCATATATATATATATATATATATATATATATATATTTCTCTTAAGCAGCAACTATAATGCTAATCTGATAGCGGCAGACGACAATCTGTGAAGGCAGAGGATATTCTCCATTGTGAAGGAACGCAAGGAGCATCTTTATTGTGGTTCCATTTTAGGAATAAAAGAAAAAAAAACACGGCGAACCAAGAACTGCGCAATTGAAAACCCTGCACAAAGGCAACAAACCGTTTTCTAAATAATTTTTGGCGCATACAGGATGGGCATTGTCATTTTTAGGCATTTGGAGACACATTAACTCTGTACATGCCTACGACGATAAGTCGTTAATCTGGGGACGCGCATACATCAACTTGCTGAAATATTGACCACGACAGCTTAAGGGCGGGCGCCTCACGTTTGTAATTCAAAGAGGATGAAAAGCCTCCTTTATGAAGCGTGGTCAAAAACACTGTTTTCTTTTTTTTCACAGTAGGAGGCTCCACGTCAAGCGAAAGGCATGGATATAAATGTTTCTGTTACCCAAACGAACTTCTGCGCTGGTTATTTTATGAACACAAATTGTCCTTAGGGCGGGCCTTGACGCGTGCTTTCTTATCCGCGCATCGAGGCACAAGAATCGATCTTATCGCAAAGAGCCACGAGCAACTCCCATCGTAGACACCAACAGGCACGGTGTTACAGTATGCGATATTCAGTGTGATTGTATCGCCAGAATGTAGGCGACTTACGTACCAACCGTGCGATTAGCGCCGTGTATTTGCGCAGCCAACGGGAAACACCACATCTGCAGGAAACTCATAGCCATGGCAGTGGGCTTGAATTACCGCAATGTAGGTCAATCTTATTCAAAATCATGATATTAAATTTGTGCTCGCAACATACGTCGTTCATGTTTACTACCCTCTTTAGATATTTAAAAGATAATTATTATAAAGTGAGCAGCCTTGACAATACCTCTTCAACCAATAACAATTTCTAACTGCATAGATTCAAACAGTAACGTCTCTTATAAACAAGTGGATAATGCAAGCCGGCGTTCCATCCACAGAAGAGACTTGGGCGCACTCAAAACTTCGTCCGACACACTAAGGATTTGATTGATTTGATTTATATGTGAGGTTTAACGTCCCAAAACCACCATATGATATGGGAGACGCCGTAGTGGAGGGCTCCGGAAATTTCGACCACCTGGGGTTCTTTAACGTGCACCCAAATCTGAGCACACGGGCCTACACCATTTCCGCCTCCATCGTAAATGCAGCCGCCGCAGCCGGGATTCGAACCCGCGACCTGCGGCGTCCGACACGCTAACATGAGGTACACAATACCAGAAATGAAGCCTCGCAAATTAACGTGACGAAAGCTTCGTAGGCTCTAGGCGTTGACGGCTTAGAAGAACGTGGCGAATGGCAGCGGCTAAGGTGTAGGACGAAACCAGCGGTATTTGCAGTGACATGTAGGGTGGACACACTTCCGTCGCTTCAGTCCAACCAAGGTGCCCAAGTTCCATTGTGCAAGTAAGGATAGGAATCGGGGTCAACGTCCTCGTTCAGAGGGGCTATGGTCTGCGCCCTGTAGAATTCCAGAGTTCTGTTCAGTGACTCCAGTAGCTGAAAGTGTAGAAATCAACGCACGAGTGTCACAGTCAAGCCGTGTCTCGCGCGCACGCACACACACACGCACACACACAGAGAGAGAGAGAGAGAGAGAGGAGAGAGAGAGAGAGAGAGAGAGAGAAAGAGAGACAGAGATGTACGCACGGGCACATGCTTGTATTTTTACACAGACAAGTGCATACATGCATGCATACATGCACCTAACAGAATTATTTCTCGTACACCCTGTCATGGTCCCTCGACTTTTGTGGACATTAAACTCAAAAGCGGGCCGATTATAGACACAAAGCTACACGCACTGTCTTCTGTTTCAAAAAACATACAACAAATAGCTTTCGAGTAATTTAGAGTATAACACCATGCTACAATTGTGAAAAAGAAGTAAAGTAGGGCCGAATTCCTTTGGTGGAAAGTCTGGCGCGGCGTACTATCGTCTACAACAATTTGATGTGTACGATCCCACACGCAGCGTTGTGTTTGTTCTTGTGTATCCGCGTGCAGTCGAGCTGCATCAAATTTGTTACGACTGTCAGCCGCCTATAGCCTGCCTGTCCCCTTTGGCATACATCTAATGGCTCACCAACCGGTGTCTATCCCGTGCAGAAACACAATACAACTCATTGCAGTAACTATAGCTCATTGACGTATCTCTCTGGAATAGATATTTCAATGTGGTAATGAGCGACTGAATGTCAGCTAAACGAACCCGATTCCACACAGGTTCAGTGATGCACAATCATGAATTACGAGAAAGACGTGCTGCAGATACTTACCTCTATATGGGTGGATGCAAGGTTGTTGCATTCACACGGGTCCTCTTCTAAGTTGAAAAGGTACACATTGTCGGATGATTGAAGTCGCTCGTCGTCACACAACAATTCCTCTGGGCAGGTTAGTGTTGCGTTTACCCGCCAATCTGGCAAGAATTCCAGTTTCGTCAAGCCGTAAAAAGCTTTGAGCGCCTGCATGCAGCCATGGCCTAATCGATTAACACTGACAACACATTCCTTTATAAATCTCTAAAAAGGATATCCACAAAGCTTAGTCTGTCATCTGCAGTCGTTAGGCAAATCTCACTGTACCTGTTGGTTATGCCGTGTGCAAACAAAATAATGTTTGCACGGATGGTTCTGCCACGTTACCTCTACACCACACTTGAAAGACGAGAGTAAACATCTGTTTTCGTAATAAATGATTTCGTTGGCCAGCAGTTCAATTTTCGCGTTTAGAAACGCAAATTTCAGCCTCTTCATGCTCGCGACCACTTAACAGGAGATAGCTAATTTGCTTGGTATGTGCCGCTCAGGATTAGAAAGTCTAATTTCGCAAAACTTGTTTGCGTAACCACAGATATGTTGCGGCAATCGCACTGACTCACGTATCCTATGTAGAAAACATTCTGGATTTGTATCGCGCACTGAAAATTTTGTTTCCATCACCCGCAGTGACATACATTCTGTACTTGTTTAGGCTTTGCGTACCATACAGCCGCAGTAGCTTAACCACAGTCCGAACCGAACATGACAATTGCGGCTGTACTACGTGCACCGCGATCACTGTGAGCATCGTGGATATTGAATTACGAAGACTCTATAGTAGCCATTCAAGCGTAGTTTCGATCATAAATGACGCAAGGGAGTTCATATTTCAGTTTCAGTTTCAGTTTTATTGAGCATTTTCCTCACAGAGTTGCGAAAAAGAAAACGCAAGGATAAGAGCAAAAAGCTTCTATGTTAGCAGCTTGACGAGGCTCCTACCCCTTTTCACTTGGTATTACAAAAATCCGCAGAGCACAAAACATGAAAAAACAATTTGACGTTGATTTTCAAAACTTCAAGAAATTAGGAAATAAAAAGAAAATGCATCAAAATTACATCAGTTTCAGGTTTACAAAAAATAAGCAAACTACAAAGAGAAAAAACAACAAAAAACAAAAGAAAACAGCGTGCGGTCAATCATGAAACAATGCACACGTTGCTAATCGGCTACCAAAGTATTACAAAATGATTATACAACGTTTACAACACTGGGTATGCGAAAAGCACAAATTTTAATGCACAAGGGAAACACTGACTAGTGAAATGTTGCATGTTTTACTCGTAAAAAAAGCAACGAAAAAGCACTATTATAGGGTGTTTCTTTTACATATAGTACTGTAGCCGGACGGAGGTGGAGAAGAAGCTAAACTACACGCCGCCATTTTGAATGAGAAGGTTCTTAAGTTGTTTTTTATGTATAATAAAGATGTCGATGTTTTTATTTTCAAACATGTTAAAACAAGCTGGAATACAGTGTTCAAGTCTTCTCAAACCGTGATTAGTTCGCGAATAAGGAACGAACCAGGAAGGCCTTTTCCGAATGTCATAATAGGATTGTGTATTTTTTCTGAAGTTACACAGTTTAAGAAAATGAGCGTAGTTTGATAGCAAGCTTTGTTTGTATTTCATAATAAGGTTGAAACTGTGTATGTGATCGATCGGTAAAATCTTATATTCTCTGAATAAATGACTTGTATGCGCGTCGCATGGTACGTTTGCAATATGACGAATCGCTTTCTGCAGTAAAAATATTTTGTTCCGATTTGTTTTAGATGTATCTGCCCACACTAGACTACAATAGTTTATGTGAGATGAAAACAACGTATTATAGAGTAAAAGTTTGATGTTTGCTGGAAGTATCTGTCGAAGTTTAGAGAGAGCACCACACGTCCTAGCTATATTTCTAGTTACTTTATTAACGTGTTCGTCCCAATTAAGATTTTCATTAAAAATTACTCCTAATGATGAAACTTCTTTGGCAACCTCAATTTTTTCGGGCCCGAGATATATATCCAAACCACGACAGACAGCCTTCTGAACCGGTGCGAACACCACAGCTTTGGATTCTTTTGTGTTGATCATTAAATAATTTGCAGTACTCCATATGAAAATGTCGTTAAGAATGTTGTTGGCTGAGTCTGCAAGCTTACCTAAATCATTACCATGAAAAAATATACTAGTGTCATCTGCATAAATTATAAAGTCCACATATTTGCTGACACTTGTTATGTCGTTTATATAAATATTAAACAGTAGGGGCCCTAATATGCTGCCCTTAGGTACACCTGACGTTATGGTTAGTAGGGAGGATAGGCTGTCATTTATAACTACAGATTGCTTTCTTTGTGATGAATAGGATTTCAGAAAGTCAAGTGGTGTTCCCCGAAAACCATAATGACGCAATTTTGCATAGATTCCTTCGTGGTTGATTCTATCAAACGCTTTGGAATAGCCAATAAAAACACCCAGTGTTAACAGTTTCCTTTCAAATGAGTCAAGTATGAGTTCTTTTTGTGTGAGGAGAGCCAGTTCCGTGGACATGCCCCGTCGGAAGCCAAATTGATGCGTTAATAATATAGAGTACTTTTCACAAAAAGACATGACACGTTGATATAGGATTTTCTCTAGCCCTTTAGATATAACAGGAAGTATCGAGATCGGACGATAATTAGAAAAGATATTTCGGGTCACCAGATTTGTATAAGACACTAACTCTCGCATGCTCATTTTTCTGAGAAAACTCCCGTGGATAAGCAGATATTAAACAGATGCGTAGAATAGGTAACACAAAGATCAAGTGCTGCTTTAATGGGTCTAATTTTTAGGTCATCTATGTCCCGAGCAGTAGTGTTCTTTAGTGACATAAATACAGACAATACTTCTTCAAGAGTTGTGTTTAAAAAATGTGCGGTGCTCATGTTTGGCACACCTAGAAAGTCCCTGTAATCACTATTAGAGGCACGAGAAGGGTTTGATAAATCAGAGGACACCAGCGTTGTGAAGTACACGTTAAATTTATTAGCAAATTCTTGACCCTTTACTATCTTGTTATCTATGTTTAACTCAAGTTCGTTGTCTCGAGAGCAACTTCTATTTAGAAGCTTATTTATTTCTCGCCAAAGCACGTCGCCACGAGTGCTAACCCTTTTGAAGAGAGCTACATAGTACGCATCCTCAGTTTTTCTCAGTTGCTTCGTTACAAAATTTCTATATCGCTTGAATTCCGAAAGATCGTTATGGTGTCTTGTTTTCACGAATTTCGCGTACAGTAGACTTTTCTTCCTAATCATTTCCAGACATTCTCGCGTCATCCGTTGTTTCCAACCTTTCTTTAGGGTTTCGACAGTTTTATATTTAAAACACTTATGGTAAGTTTTTCTTAACAGGCACATGAATATTTAATACGCCTAATTAGCGTTAACTGATTTATAGACAGGATCCCAACAAATCTGCGCAATTTCACGCCTAAAAGTGTCTAATGTTTTGTTACTAATTTCCTGTATTTTGTATGATTCTGGAGTTGATACTTTTGCACGATTAAGATACTCGTTTTGATTTTGAAACATGTATATAGAGTAGTGATCACTAATATCGGCAATAACAGTTCCAGATACGGTTGAATCACTTATGTCAGTTGTAATAAGTAAGTCGATAAGGCTTTCATCTGAAGTGACACGTGTAGGTTCAGTAATAATATTAGCACACGCAAAGGAATCAAGTAGTAGTTGGAAGTTACCAGAGGTTTTAGTTTGCTGCAAAAGGTTTATGTTGCAGTCGCCCCCTATGATAATGTGCAACTTGTTAGTGCACGCATACGTAAGCAGATTTTCAAGAAATTGAAAAAACGCTTCTGTTTTTCCGTCAGGTGGATGATAAACTACCACGTATACATACTTGCATCTTCGAGTGCACAATACATATTTCGAGTGCATATACATATTTGCATCTTCTAGTGCACAAAACAGAAGCTAAACATGCTGAGATGGAGCACTACAGTGGCGCAGTGGCGTGTCTTCGCCGCAGTACAGGTTTGAGCACACTCAGGTTTCAGCAAAGTAGCCTGCGAGGTCTTTGCCTACGGGGCTATCTTCTTTACGCAGCCTATTTTGCCGGCTACGTGAAAATTAGAATCACCCTTAAGGTGGCCACCGTCCACTTAGCTGATTCGAACAGCCTCCCCTCCCCCCACAATAATATATATAAAAAATATATATATATATATTCTCGCGACGTCAAGACAGAGGTCATGCTTGAAGACGCTGAGAAAACAGCAGCGGGTCGGTCTTTTTATTAACCGCGCGCGCCGGAGAGTTCCTCGTCGTCTTTCTCGTGTTTGCGTTCTGCATAAAAGCGTGCAGATGCGCGTATGCGCTGTCGCCTTCGTCTTTTTCGCGGGACACACGTGACATTTGCCTCCCTCCAAAAATGGCAGCGTCCCGATGCGCAGCCAAGGCACTCTACTTATAAAAACGCACATATGCACTGGCACCCACAGGACAAACGAGAGTTAGCTGGACAAGTAGGGTTTCATCCGGATGACATGCACGATTTCGGGTGAGCAGTTTCGGCGACTGGAACTGCAATCGACGTCGGGAATAACTTCGTAGTTGATGTCGTTCAATCGTCGGGTGACTCGATATGGGCCGAAGTATCGTCGTAATAGCTTTTCTGAAAGTCCGCGTCGACGTATTTGGATCCAGACCCATACCTTGTCACCTGGTTTGTAGGTTACCAATTTATGTCGTAGGTCGTATCGTTTCGCATCTTTGTGTTGCTGGTGACAAATACGCACGCGGGCTAGCTGTCGGGCTTCTTCGGCGCGCTGACCAAATTCTTCGGCGTCAGCGTGAGTTTCGTCACACTCATGCGGCAGCATAGCGTCCAACGTTGTAGTGACTTCGCGCCCGTGTATTAAACTAAACGGCGCCATTCCGGTAGTTTCATGCCGGGCGGTATTATATGCGAAGGTCACATAAGGCAAGATTTCGTCCCAGTTCTTGTGTTCTGTGTCTACATACATGCAGAGCATGTCTGCGAGGTTCTTATTAAGCCGCTCTGTTAGTCCGTTCGTTTGTCGGTGGTACGCCGTTGTTCTCCGGTGAGCTGTACCACTGAGCCTGAGAACCGACTCCAAAAGTTCTGCCACGAACGCAGTTCCTCTATCCGTGATGAGAACTGTTGGAGCACCGTGCCGAAGGACGACGTTTTCTATGAAGAAATGAGCCGCTTCTTCTGCTGGGCCCTCGGCATGGCTTTAGTTTCTGCGTAGCGAGACAAGTAATCAGTGGCGACAATGATCCATCTGTTCCCTGTAGTAGAAGTTGGGAATGGGTCCAGGAAATTTATTCCGATTTGGGCAAATGGCTTTGCTGGTACTTGAACGGAATGTAATAAGCCTGCCGGCCTGCCGGGTGGTGCTTTGCGTCTTTGACAGTCGGTACATGTTTGGACGTGATGTTTCACAGCAGCAGGTAGGTTCGGCCAGTAGTAACTGTTTTGCAGACGGGACAATGTTCGAGTGTAACCCAGATGACCGGAGGTAACTTCATCATGGCAGGCTTCCAGAATTTCTTTTCGCAGTGATGCAGGGACGACGAGCAAGTATGGGATGCCGGTGGGAGAAAAGTTTTTCTTGTATAGGACGTCGTTCCTTAAACAAAAAGATGGCACTCCTCTCACAAAAACTCGCGGCACGTCTTCCCGTCGTCCTTCTAAGAAATCGATAAGCGAAAGCAGGTCAGGGTCACGGCGCTGCTCTTGTGAGATAGTGGCCGCGTTGATGACTCCCAAGAATGCGGCGTCCATAGACTCGTCATTATTAGCGGCAGGCTCGACGGGTGACCGCTAGAGACAGTCTGCGTCGGTGTGCTTCTTCCCTGATTTATAAATAATAGTCATATCAAACCCCTGAAGTCGAAGGCTCCAGCGTGCTAAACGGCCGGATGGGTCTTTCAAGTTAGTGAGCCAGCAAAGCGAGTGGTGATCACTGACGACCTTGAATGAGCGGCCGTACAGATACGCTCGAAATTTGAGAACCGCCCAAACCACGGCAAGGCACTCTTTCTCAGTAGTCGAGTAGTTCTCTTCCGTGCGAGAGAGAGCTCTGCTGGCATAGGCTATCACTTTCTCGGAGTTATCTTGCCATTCTATCAGTACGGCGCCCAGGCCTACATTGCTTGCGTCGGTGTGAAGTGCTGTTGGCGCTTCCTGGTCAAAGTGCGCAAGAACCGGAGGTGTTTGGAGGCGTTGGCGTAATTCGTTGAACGCTGTTTGTTCCTTTTCGCTCCAAAGAAAGGGGACATCCTCTCGTTTGAGCCGCGTCAGAGGCGCCGCAATAGACGAAAAGTTGGCGATGAATCGTCGGTAATAAGCGCAGAGGCCTAAGAAGCGTCTCACTGCTCTATTGTCATGTGGTGCGGGAAACTTTGCGACAGTGTCGATTTTGCCCGGGTCAGGTCGAACACATTCGTGGCTGACCACGTGGCCTAAGAAGCAAAGTTCGTCGAAACCGAAATGGCACTTCTCTGGCTTTAAAGTCAGGCCAGCCGAACGCATAGCTTGTAGAACTACGAATAATCGACTTAGGTGTTCCTCAAATGTAGCTGAGAAGACGACAACGTCGTCTAGATAAACCAAGCATGTCTGCCACTTAAGTCCTGATAGCACAGTGTCCATTAAACGCTGAAAAGTGGCTGGCGCTGAGCATAACCCAAAAGGAAGCACTTTAAATTTATAAAGACCGTCGGGCGTCACGAAAGCAGTTTTCTCACGGTCTCTCTCGTCGACCTCTATTTGCCAATAGCCAATTCGCAGGTCCATCGATGAGAAATAGCGTGCATGCCGCAGCCGATCCAGAGAGTCATCTATGCGTGGCAGTGGGTAGACGTCTTTCTTCGTTACTTGGTTTAACTTGCGGTAATCTATACACACAGAAACGCAAGCTGCCGTCTTTCTTTTTAACCAATACCACGGGGGATGCCCAGGGACTTTTGGAAGGCTGTATTACGTCATCTTGGAGCATCTTCTGAACTTGCTTTTGGATCTCCTCACGTTTTTTCGCAGCCACACGGTATGGGTTTTGACGGATCGGTCTCGTATTTTCTTCAACGATGATTCGGTGCTGGGTCAGCGGTGTTTGCTTGACTTTCGACGTGCACGAAAAACAATTTTGGAACTGGTGTATCAGCTCTAGTAGGCGCTGTTTTTCCGAGGCTGACAGGGTTGAGCAAATGTTGACAGACAAAGGTGTCGAAGCTGGGATGGTTGCCTCATCCGGTTGCAAAGCGAAGCAATCTCTGGCTTGGTCCACGTCGTCGTAGTAGGCAATCGCGGTGCCTTTCTGGATGTGACGACGCTCGTTGCTGAAGTTGGTGATGGGCACTTCTGCCCACCCATCAATTAGTGCCAGAATGCCTCTCGCTATTGAAACACCTTGCGTAAGCAATAGCGTGTCTATTCGCTCCGCTTTCACCTCATTACGGCACGGCCGTTCACACAACACCGACGCAACGCAGCAAGATCTCGGCAGGAGCATCACATCATCGGCTACACGTAAACGTTGCAGTTGTTCTTCAGTGGTGGCGTTGACGTAAGTATGGGCGGAAAAGGTGACGATACGTTCTGGGATATTGATTACAGCACCGTACTCTCGCAGAAAATAGTTACCCAAAATCAACTCTATACAACAGTCCGGTAAAATCACAAAAGTGGCGACGAAGTTCAAATCATCGATTACGAGCCGAGCGGTGCATTTACCGGTTGGAGTCATTAGCTGCCCACCAGCACTCCATATGCTCGGCCCACTCCACGGCGTCTTAACCTTCTTAAGGCAGTCGGCGAGCTCTTGTCGCATAACAGAGAAGTCAGCACCAGTGTCAACCAGTGCTGTTACGTGGTGTCCGTCTATAATAACGCTGAGGTCGGCACGTACAAATTCATTGACATTAGTACTCGTGGTTGTCGTCGTCTTCGTCATCACCGTCGTCACGTCGTCTTTGTGTAGAGGCAAGGGGGTCTTTTTGGCGTCTCGGCGATTGGCAACCTTGCCCCCGGAGGTCGCGGCAAATAGTTTCCCTGGCACGGGCTTGGGGAGCGGTTTCTGAAGGCGTCCGCGTATCTTTGGCGATTCGGGGAATTCTGACCTCGTGCAGGTGAGGGAGACCGCCAGCGACGACTTGGTGAAGACGCTTGGTTGGTCGGCAGGTGATCAGCACCATGGTCACGAGGGTCTTCAGAATAAAAGGAAGTGGGCTGAGAAAAGTTTCCAAACCGGGTTTCTCGATGACGGCAGTAGCGCGAGATGTGGCCTGGTTCGCCGCAGTGGAAACAAAGGGGCCGATGGTCGGCAGTGCACCACAAGTCAGTCCGACGTACTGGTGGTCGCCGCACAGGTTCACGCTGCCACCACGGCAATGTAACGGGCCGTGGCTGAAAGGGTGCTTCGTCTGGGGCAGGCGGATGACGGCGGACGGCATCGCCATAGGTCAGTGGACGTGGTTCGGGTGGTGGCGCCGGTGATGAAAAGGCTTGCCGTAGTTTCTGGCGCACGATTTCTGCAACAGAAGCTACTGGGGGATCGGTAGACAGAAGGCCGAGGGCCCGCAGCTCTTCCCGCAGGATTTGTCGAATCATTTGCCGTAAAGAGTTTTCAGAAACGGCAGCGTTTTGAGCGGCGGCACCAACAGGCGTTTGGTCAGGCAGGCGGTCAAAGTGGCGGCATCGTTGCCGGAGCGTCCACTCAATGACTGTCGCCTCTTTGATGAATTCATCCACTGTCGTTGGCGGATTTCGTACAAGGCCGGCGAAAAGCGCTCCCTTAACTCCCCGCATCAGATGACGAACTTTCCTTGCCTCGGGCATGTCAGAGTCAGCGCGGCGAAATAGACGGGCCATATCCTCAGCGAACATGGCCACGCTTTCGTTCGGCTTTTGCATGCGGGCTTCAATCATCTGTTGTGCGAGATCCTGTCGGTCCGCACTCAGGAACGTCTCGATAAGCTTTTGGCGGAAATTGTCCCAGGTTTGGAAAGTAGGCTCCCTGTTCTCGTATCATGTGCGAGCGCTATTTTCCATTGCGAAGTAGGCACGGCCAAGTTTTTCTTGCACACTCCAACGATTCACCACAGCGGTCCGCTCGAACTGGTCGAGCCAGTCCTCAACATCTTCATACGGTTCTCCACGGAAGACTTCGGGAACACGAGGAGTCTCAAAAGTTACCTGGTAAGCGTGAGTCATCTGGGCCGGAGGAAGATTCGCAGACGTTGAAGGGGCCGCCATGTTGGTAACAGGAGATGCCGTCAAGAGTTCTGGACTTAGGCCTAATAGGCGCCGGCTGAATCGGTGTACTGGAGTCGCAACAAGATGTTGAGGCTCCGGACTGGGTGTACGGTCTTGAACAACGCTTTCTTGCATCAGGCTGCAGGCCCCAGCACTTCCACCAGTGTCGCGACGTCAAGACAGAGGTCGTATTTGAAGACGCTGAGAAAACAGCAGCGGGTCGGTCTTTTTGTTAACCGCGTGCGCGAGAGAGTTCCTCCTCTTTCTCGTTGTTGCGTTCTGCATAAAAGCGTGCAGATCAGGTGTGCGCAAGCTATCAGACTGCGCGTTCGCTAAACTGAGTCGTCATACATGAGGGTGGTACTGGGTAGCCCAAGGGCTCAGCAGTGAACGGGCAGTCATAGACAGAGCACGCACACACCAGATGATGTGGTGACACCCAGTGACGATGAGGACAGAGACTCAACACGTACCATGGTGATTATGGTTATGTATGAAGAAGCACGTAACGAATGCCCCCTACATACATACATACATACATACTACATACATACATACATACATACATACTACATACATACATACATACATACATACATACATACATACATACATACATACATACATACATACATACACACACACACACACCACACACACACACACACATACATACACACACACACACACAGACACACACACACACACCACACACACACACAGACACACACACACACACACACACATACATACACACACACACACACACACATACATACATACATACATACATACATACATACATACATACATACATACATACATACATACATACATACATACATACATACTACATACATACATACATACATACATACATACATACATACATACTACATAGATAGATACCAACTGCAATGCTTACCTTACCAGAGTAGCTCTGTTCCGCAAGCTCATTCAGATCGTGCTGCGGTCTCTCGCCCCCTGGTATCGCTGTGCGCTGCTCAGGAAGAGGGCCTACGACGATTTTGAAGTTGTCTTTTCGAATCGCTGAGTAACCCCACAAAGGGTCGATGTTGTACACGAAGTCGGAACGTGGAGACAACGCGTCTTCGGACAGCGATTCCCACATGTCGTGGCCGTCGATGTTCCCCAGCTGCTGTACCACTCCACCTGGCGAATAGATACGTGCAGGCGTTTTCATTTCACATTTCCTTCTTTGAAATCTATTATCTTTCTTCTTATGTGAGCTGCATTACAGTGTTCTGTTGTATGTTTTATATTCCCTGAAACTTCTTTTACCAGCCCCTGTATTACCCGTAGGGTATTATAACATAGAGGAAATAGCAAAATGAAGAAGCTGCAAAAATAAATGTACTTAGAGGGGACCCATTGACTAGCGAAAGCACACAATATCGGCTGAGGCCCAAACATCAGAAGGTTCTTCGCTATAACGGCTCCATATAGTCATGTTCGCGTCAAAGAAAATGGAAAAAAAAAGTAGTCGGTCTTACAAAAGTATTGAAGTCCGCTAACGACAAGTTGGAATATAAAAAAACGACTAAAAGGTGGAAGACGCTTCAGAGTGAACAGAAATACAAAATTTTCGAAGCTTATCCCTGTGCGTATATCCAAGAAGGAAAGTATGGTTATGGAAAACTCCGATACGACAGCGTGCTTCAAAACTTTAAACTCGGGATCACAACGTATGAGTTATCGTTTACCAATGAGATGACAGTATATTAGGTGGAAGGGTTCCAATTTCGCTATTGAAGGACCTCTTTTTATTGTGTGTCACATGAAACTGCATTTAATGCGTGGCATACCACCAACATTGTGGGGCGGGGTTGCATGCACTGAAATTTTTTGCATAACATAAAAACACACTTCAAAACTAGAATATTAGGTCAGCATTTATAAAGTAAATCTGTTATATAATACTTTGGTGCTGGTTGAAAAAACAATAGATGCATCTGTTTCATATTTCATGTTTACTTTTCTGAAGAATACGCCCTTGGAACTGGAAACTCGTTTAGGCGGTACTCCGTCCGAAATATCACATAGCTAAGGGAATACTTACGGGTTCATGGTATGTGAGCGTTTATATTGCAAAGCTGCTGTTTTAATAATTTAGCGGGGATTTAAAAAAAGGGGGTTTGCAGCATGTTTCACGTCCAACTTTCTGAAAAATTTACTTGTAAACGTCAAAGTCAATTAGGAGCCACCTCGTATAAATTTTAGAAACGCTCACGCAAGAGAATTTCTGCGGGTTTTTGGTAGTACAAGTCGACAGTTGGCTCTAACCATAGAAATACGCCACTCTGTACAACAACCATGAATTGCGTTTAAATGGTTCTGTAAGCTGCTGATGCCAAGACATTTTATTTACTTCTTTGTAGGGACGTAGTCAACTGCATACGATCTGACAGTGCATAGAATACTCAGTACGTGATCAATAATGTAAGCTATAAATTAATTCTGGCCACACACGCAAAACAAAAACTGGCTAACGAAACGTGACTTACGGATAAATTGATTCGCATGACACATTTTATCACAATATGCTGCCTTCGCTCTGACACGTAACTTCTTATAAAATCAACTATAGCAGGATGACAGATAGATTATGAATTATGCAAGGCACTTTCTGAGACAATACCAACTTTTAATAATGACGTGGTGAGAGTCAGGCAGTTCTCGTGTTCGCAAATTACATTACTGTCCAGGTGTAAAAACCTACTGCGACTTCGGCTAGAGTGAAGTGAGTAGCTAAATACTTTACTTGTAATTAATAACTTGAAGGTAGTTAATTGTTCGCAGGCTCTTATCACCATTTTTAAATAAATAAACGAATGTAACTTTGGAGATTTATCATGACGGTCCTGACTCAGTCGCACCAACCGCGCAGTAAACATGGTCGCTGTGTTACGACAGACCGAAATTTGTTACGATGAGGATGTGACTAAATTTGAATAGCAATGAAATTTTTCGTGAAATTCAAAAAAAAGTGTCTTCCTACAAATGCGAAATGGTTACTGGTAATCCATATTGACTGAAAAGAATCACCTTACGGAATTCCAGGAATTGAGCAATAAATTACAACATATGCCTGAATTCAGGTAGAGAGCATAGAAAGAAGCCATTGATTTTAAATTGTTTTTCTGCTTACGCATACAACAAACAAGGGTCAACGGCTTTTTATTTCAATTGTGATATCATATTTATGATGGTCGCGACTGGCCCCAGTCATTTTTCATTGCACTTGAACTGATGTGTGCTCTCTCCTTAAACAAAGAGACTAATACATAAGCAAAACCTTGAGAACAAGCCATGATTGCATGAGGCGGTATGCCATCTGAATATCCAGTATACGATTGTATTTTTTTGACTAGAAGCTGTCCTGGAACACCGTTACACGTGTGGTAACCACAAGCAAATTCCTGTGTTTGTTTGTTTGTTTTTTGCAGTTCAGACAATGTTGTGATGTAATAGTGCGTAATTCAGGCACGTTTATTATAAAAAATAAAAGCAGTCCTTTTTGTCAATGATCAAGCACTGTTTCACGATTTACTAAATGATCAGGTATCATGAAAACCTCTTTGGCTTTTAGTTTGACGAGTTTGTAGCATACCTTTCTATCAAGTGAAGAAGCGTGTCTCTGTAATTTACTTGAACTGATTCTGTGCGTTTAGAAAAAGTGGTTAACGATTCAGTGTACTTGGTACTCTACTATAGGAGAGCAACTTCTTTTTTGTTGTTCAACTGTATTTCAACTGTGACGATGATAAGAAACAGATGTGTGGAAATATTTCTGTGGCATCACTTCGAGCGAATATAACCTATAAACAGCGTGCGTGTTGTATACTATCTCATTGATTGACATGGGTATTTAACGTCCCAAAACCACCATGTGACTATGAGAGACGCCGTAGTGGAGAGCTTCGGAAATTTCGACCACCTGGGGTTCTTCAACGTGCACCCAAATCTGATTGTGTAATACCTTGTCGAGAATTTGTGATATACCGAAAAATTTCGAGCGAGCAAATCACGGAATTCGTGGCACCCTTAATGCCGGGTGTCAAGTGCTCACAGGAAACGTAGCTTGCAGCATGGAAAATCTAGCTCTATATCTTGTAATGTATTTTATGCTACTACCAATTGTTTTGTAGCTAATGACGGAGAGCGCGAAGAGCGTTCAAGAGCCTTCACTTTTTCGTTCTTTGTCGCCTAGCTGACGCAAGTTCTATCTTCAATAGTTTTGCTTATTCGGTGTGTACGCGCTAAAGACGTGGCACACGACATGCTCCATAGTTCTGAAGTACGATTTTTTGTAGCAAGGTCCTGGCTTCTGTGACATGTGGAGAATTCGCGACATACATAAAAGTATGCATTGAAGGTGCATTTTAGATAATTTAACTGTGGTATAATATAAATATTGCTATGTGAAGCTGGAAAATGAAAAAAAATTTCATTCTTTCAGTAGTTTCATAGTTCAGACATATAAAAGGTTAAATAAGGAATTTAGACTATTGACAGGACTTTACAAGCTATTTTCTTTTTTTTCTATAAAGGGTATTTTAATTACTTTGTTGCTTTGGGGAAGCACTATTTCATTGCCATTAGCTGTGTTGTACTTGCTTTAGTTTGTAGCGTTTGCACCGATTGCGCTTTTAAATGCCCATTTTTATGGAGAATGTGCGTCTTTGCAACTGACAATTCTATAGGCTACACTGTTAACGGTTTTCTTTTCATCATAATTATTTTTTGTCTCACAGTGCTAATGCTGGTGTCAGAAGAAACAAGAATCTCGGTTCTGAATAATTGACAACGCAACTTTCTTCCTGTTGATATTTTCCTGAGCATGTGTTTAAGAAAAAAGACAAAGAAACAAACAAAGCTGTACCAGCCATTCCGTAGAGCGTCGGCAGCCAGTCAGTGATGTGCATGAGCCGGTTAGAGACCCGGCGCCTTTTTTGGAGCAGCGGTGACCACACGAAGGCGGCGACCTTGCTACCGCCTTCCCACGGGCTGGATTTTTGTCCGCGAAGTGGCCAGTTGATGCCTCGAGAAGATAGGTGGCCTTCGGACGCACCACCGTTGTCTGAACTGAACACTACAACGCTGTCCTCCAGCATCCCCGCTTCAGAAAGAGCGCGAATGGTGCGCCCTACGGCAATGTCCAGAGAATCCAGCATCCCTGCGGAAGGAAGTTCCCCCCATCATCCCTATTACCATCAGCGTCATCACCGGCAGCAGCATCCATCCCATCATCAGCATCATCGCCAGTATCATCGGTCTGCACAGGACAGCCTCTCCAATAATATTCAAGTTTTCCTGTTCTGAGCGCATAGTGATTCATTTTTCTTTCCGCAAATTCGTTTATTTCGTCATCTAACCTAACCCTCCACCATCCTCAGCATGGCCAATTCGTAATAACCCACAATAGGTTGTGTGTGTGCTATCTTGTGTTTCGAATATTCTCATTTTTCGATCTATCTCTTTTTCCCATTCGTGCTCTATTTGTTTACATCCTTCTCCTTCAACTTCCACGACCATTTCCCAAGCGTACTACAAAATAACAGTTCTTTTTTTATTCAACTAGTTAACTTCCCAGTCTTTCCCTCTTTCCTCTCCTTATCAATAGCGACGCTTTCTCGACGAGAAAGGAGCAGCGAGTTTCCTTCGTTGAGGTTTTCCGATGCCACGAGGACGTTTGCCCTCTTGCGTCGTTTCCTGCACCGAACTACAAGATATCCAAATCAACTCGCAAAGGGCCACCAGTCTATATTCTTATGTTTCTTGAACACATATAATAAGATGCACGAAAACAAAACAAAAAAAAAACGTTGAAGAAGGGCAAGTACACTGAGCGGGTGATTCGTACTACAGTCGGGTGCATGACAGTTTCCCCGTTCCGTCACTAATTTAAAAGTAATCACACACGCAAAAGCACTAGCTGCAGCGTGCATCTTCCCGATATACGTCGTGTAAAAACAAAAGCGCATGTTTGTACTTGGCCATCTTGCTAGGAAGCGCAGCCACTATTACACAGAACACACAACACAAGCGCTTAACTTCAACTAAACGTTTATTGCAAACGTCAGAGTTTATAAAGGGGGTGAAAAGAGAAAAAGAACATTCTTCTCTTTTCTTACCAACTGGCCCGATACAATTGTTTATTGTACTTGGCCACCGCTACGTGCAGCTCTACCAGCTTCCTTCTAGAGGTGAAGCGAGACGTATAAAAACCGCAGTAGATGTCATTGACAGGTACACAAAATAAGTCGTGGCTGTCATCTCGAAATTTCAATTCAATTTCAATTCCATTATAGAAAATGCATTGCTGCAGTGTGCTACATGTCTATAATACACTCAGCTAGCTGATCGTCAGGCTAATGGAACAAGGGCTCGTTTCTTTGTTAGACTTGCCCTTGCAAAAGTGACAAGAAATGGCCCCAAGAAGAATAGAGGGCACATTTCCTGTAGTCTTTAACTGCAGTAGAGTAATTATGACATAAATGGGATAGGGTTACACCAACTTTTCAATGAAAAAAGTCGGGAGATGTGGGGGGGGGGGGGGTGCGTACACTAGAACAGCGGTACAGCTAAATCAGTTTTCATTATTACGGTATCTTCCAGATAAATCCGTTGGTTATTCGTAGTTGCCGCCCCTGAAGCACTTCAGCTGGCTAGATGCTGTTCGGAGCACTTCGTATTGCCAGATAATGCACTCGCAAATATTGTCGCTCTTCGCGCGGAAATTCAGTTGAGGTGGTTCATGCCCCTCCGTAGCCACTGCTAGCCACCAGAACATTGTTTTGTGCGTGCGATTTCTGCAATGCTCGTGCTCCTCATAGCATGAGGCGCGTCTAGTTGCACGTGCATCGGATCGCGTAAACATTTCTAAGTGGACGTAACGGAAGGAATCCGAGATATGCAGCTGTCCCGACAGGCAAGGGTGGCGTGCAACTCGGGACAGAGCATGAAAAGTCGGGACATCCCCGCAAAGTGCGGGACGGTTAGTAACCCAGAAAGTTTAAGATGTCAAAGTGGACGAATACGAGACGCCCATTCTAGAGCAGCTTTCTGGACGTGTAACCATGACAGTGAGTGAGATGCACTCGTTTTTGTCAGCAGGCATGACGTAGCACACTATCCATAGGCGTACCAGCCGGGGGGGCAAGTGTGGTGCTAGCCCCCCGACTGAGGAAAATTGGGGGGGGGGGGGGGGGCTGAGCCCCCAATTGTTTGGACAGTGGTCACTTTTGGCTGCACGCTCGGGAAACCAGCAAGTAAGGCATAGTTTTTCATCACAACAGTATATCATTTAATTATTTTTTACGGGAGAATGAAATTGTTACGAGGCTATTTATAATATAGTGGAATTTTGCCAACATTGCCACTGTGATCATTTTCCTGTCTTTGTGGGTTCTACGTTATATATATATATATATATATATATATATATATATATATATATATATATATATATATATATATATATATATTCCAGCTCACTCGTGAGCTAGGTTTGCCCCCTCCCACTAGTGAAAGAGTGGGTACGCCACTGAATTATCATTTTAAAAGCTGACAGCAAATTATCAAGACATTACTTACTGCTTAATGGTATCAAGTCCGTCGGAATCGGAAACTCGTTACGAATGAAGAAAGTTAACTGACGATGCTGTAGACTTTCCGACGAAAAAAAAAAATCTAGAGCAAGAGAGGGGAGAATAGGCGGAGCCATTCGTAAATGACGCATCTGCCTACACCTTTTATATGCTTTTGGCACGCAAAGTCGGTGTCCATGCTCTACAGAATCCCTATGTGAAACATGACACCAAATTACTTAGCAGACATGCGGTTCCACTTGTTAGACCACGTGCCCGAGCGCAGAGTAAAATGGCAGGAAAATAATTTTTTTTTTGTTGTCAGTGCCAGAAGTATCACGTTATCGGCAAATGAGAATGTGCTGAATGATATGCTCGAAAGACCTTATAAAAGACTAATGAATTTCAGCCTAAGACATTCTTGCACTTTTTTGTCACTCAGTTGAATTCAAATTTCTGGCTAATTCTTCAATATAAGGTTCAAAAATATCCATCAAAGAAATAGCAAACAAGACGCCGAGGCAAAAAAAAAAACTACCGCAACAGCTCATGTGTCAAATAAACATAGTAGTAGTTAACAAAAGTAGTTTCAGTTCAAAAACGTTTGTAGAAAGTATACGACCCGCGCGCAAAAGAAGCTTTGCTTGCGTCAACGTCCCCTATTGTGTAGATAAGACATAGGCTAATATACTGATTTTGAGATATCGCGAGAATAGTTCTTTCATAGTGCCTAGAAGCATTTAGCTCAAGTCGTGGTATACAGACCAAGCATGGCAACCAAATTTTAAAGCAGTTTGTCTGGCAAAATTATTGTACAGTTTTTTTCTTATTAACACAGCGTGCTTTCGCGTGAAATCACGATCCATGACTGTGGAGCTAAACTTACCAGCGTAGATGGTTCTGTTCTTTTCTCCAATGTACGGGAACTTTTCCACGTTCTTTGCAGGAGCTTGCAGCCTATTGTCGTCGTTTCCCGAATGAACTGCCTGGTGACTCAAGAAAATGAACTGCGGCTGCGTGCGAAAGAAGATCGAAACTAGTGTTGGCGTTTGTCATGCGCAGGATCGTGACAGATCACAAGTGGCCCCTCTCGCGTGGCAATATTCACGATGGCATGCCTATATCTTGCGTGCACATCGTCATTAGATTATTCTCTATCATCCCTTGTGGCTTTTTCCTTGCAACGCTTTTTTTTCATTCTTTTTTGTGTTTTAGTTTGTGTAGTTATTATTGTGTGATGCATTTTTTTCATACAACTCTTCCGCTCTTCGTTGTGTACTGACCTTGCTAAATTTTGACTTCCCAGTTTGTTTGTTTTTTTTGTGCGTGTAGAGTTCCTCTATGTTTTAGTTACCAGTTGTGTTAAATACTGCGCGAATCCTACTGTGACTTTTTGTGTGAAATTTTAAATATTCCATGTGATTACTACTTTACTTATCTTGTTATAAGGTAACCCACATACACTCATTGTAATTAAAACCACATCGTCATATTTTTTGCTCCCAATGCAAAGGCATTCAGGGACTTAGTCAAGCCACCTAGAGTATAGATTTTAGCCGTGAGTACGATCCATATTCTTCTGGTCTAATGAATTTCGATAGATAATTGATCTATTGATTGACTGAGTCACAGAAGTTAAAATATATAGCGGTTGACAAAGACAATTTTGCACTTTATGACAAGTCAGAACGTTTGCTTATTGCCACAAGACTGCAAAAAGTTTTCCCTGTCCAGCATATATATTACTTCGTTAAAAGAATCACAGCATATACACGAAGTGAATGATGACGGGTGGGCGAAGCTCCGGGGATCATTAACCCCCGTACATTGCCCACTCGATCTTGCAAAGACGTGACAACACGTGTGTACAGTATATAAAGAGTTGTTTATTCATCACAATGCGCCTACGGTGTTGATATGTCCAGGGATATATTATCCATTGCGTGTCACACCGATGGACAGGGGACATGGCTCGACCCTAAAAAGCTTAGCTCCTAAGAAACTCCCAAGTGCAGCCATCATCTATCTGGTTGCAGGTAGTACTTTTAACATTTATCTCCTCTATTCCTGGTTTTTTACCATTCGGAACAAATATCCTGTATAACATTAGATAAGAAAGAAAGACAAACAACTTTGGTCTGCCGAATCATCAGAACTCCAGTCGCTAGTTGGTTTTATACGTGCAGCGTATGTCGTCGAAAAAAACTAAAAAGTGGCTGCTCCAAAGTAGTTTCAAAGTAAATGATGTCGTGAAGACATGGCGAGGAAACGCCAGTTACGACCACGTGCACTCTCGGTAAATCTCGTTATTCGGACTGCTACGTTTCGAGAACCCGCTTACCTTAATGAACCCGCCCATTCGAGTGTCTCTCAAGATATACACAATATTACCAAATATAAAACTCTGACAAAGCTCGCGTAAGCACACTTAACAGATGTTGCAACGAATGCGGAAACACTCTCACGTGAAAGCCCACTCCTGCTACGAAGTGAAAACGGCTGCATCCCCCACCGTAATCCTGTCTCCCTCTCTCTCGCCCACCCACCCACTCTTTAATCGATTCACGCATACACAAAAACTCTCTCTATCTCTTTTTCAAATAGTTGCAGGGACGTTGTGGCAATTTGCGCTAAAGTCATACAATCAGTGAGTAGTGTACCTTCGATTCACAGAACTTAGCAGTTCATAAATCTTGGCAGTGAACTTACCTTAGACTTGTCGATATTTCCGATGAGTTGCACTGCTTTGTCTGCATACAAGTCGGTACTGTACAAGCCGTTGGCTTCCCAGGCAGGTTCCGTGTAGTTCCAAAAGTCTAGGCCAGAGATTACCGCACCCTCCTACATTTCAGGGGCGGGGGGGGGGGGGGGGGTTTCAGCGCAAGCCATTGTGAAAATAAGCCATTATATAGTCACGTATTTACTTATCAACAATAACAAAAAGAGAAAAAAACTGATAAAGAGAGGGTTCAAACTTAGATTCAATGACGTTGCTTTAAAAAAATTAGCTTGCTTCTTCTTAAGAGATGACTTCGTTATCCGTTCGTTATGTTCCCTAACGTTATACCAGGCTTTCGAATGGCTTCTCGTACGCTAATGAAAGGGTAAATTGAAAGGCTCGTTTTCTTCGTTGGACACCATATTAATGCTAACTAGCAGACAGTAATGCAAGGAAAAGCATCGGGATTGTTATTATAAGTGATTGTTGTGTAAATGTGCAGAAAATAAAGTGAACCAATAGATAACTTGCCTGTGCCAGGTTCCGAAACTGCGACCTTCGAAGAACGCGTTCGATTCTCTACACACCCGAGATATGATGGCAGTTATCCCCCCCGCCACCCCGCCTCTTACACTTTATAAGGTGCCTATGTGCATTTAAACATGGGAGCGTCAGCCAGCGGCACCTGTTGACATTACGACGAATGTAGAACCCTCATCCCGCTTTTTCTACCTGTTTGGCGTCACGTAGTACGTTTGGCATGAAACGTGTCGCTTTTCAATGTGGTATGCTTGTTACATTGTATAAAATGTTAGAAGCTCGAAGCCCCTCAACGATGCTTCAGAAGCTTGAACAAATCTACGAGCACAATGTGATATTTCGGGCTTCATGTGCTTTTAGTTGAGGCTTGTAGAGTGCATTTTTCGACAGAATGCTTACCGAAGAATGCAGCATGTGAGTGTAGTAGTCAGCGTGACCGTAGTACAATCCGAAGAAGGTGTCGAAACCCCTCCGTGTGGGCGTGTGCTCGGGATCGTAGCAACCAATGTGCCACTGAGAGACAGAAAGTGCAAAGAAGGTACGTTTTGAAGGCAGGTACCATTAAAAGAAGCCATTGATGAGGCCTTATCTATAATGAACAAACACTTCTCTCGCTCAGCAGCAAAATGCCATGTATATACGCCGTGAGAAAGGAAACCAAATGCCTCGAGCTTGCGGTTTAGTAAAAAAAGCATGACGCACCTTTCCTATGAGATGCGTCTCGTAGCCGAGACTTTTCAGGTGCTGCGGAAGCAGAGTGTACTTGAGGTCAAGGCCAAAAGGTTGACCCGGTTGGATCGGTATGTGCTGAAGCCCTGTGAATTAAGCAAGAAGATGTATGAACACTTCCAGATTGCATAAAACAAGCTATTGTAAATAATTAGTTACCTTAACTAAATAATTGTCAACACCATAGCGAGCAACATTGCGGATAACCTTTTTTTGAAGTTACCCCTTTTAGATGTATTAATCCTGAACTTTTCAAAGAGCAGGTATACACCAGAACACAATGAGCTCAATGCGCGCTCCCATATTGAAACGCGCGTCGCGCCATCTGTTGCAAGCACGGCGAAGCAACACCCTTGCACTGCCACGTGAGCAGATGCTCCGCAAATCAAACGCGAAACTGCACAACCGGAGTCTGGCTGTAAGCATGTCTCACGTTCTTCCTCTCCTGAAATTTCGCGCTTATTTCGTGTGAAACGTCGTGTAAAGACCTTCTTCGACAGTCCAGAATATCTACAGCTCGTGCATTGCAGATTGCAAAAGCAACTTCATCAGGTACGTACCATCGCGGTTGAAAGAAACGCGAACAGTGGAAAGCGTTGCTGTCGACTCAGTCGAACTGTGGCGAGCCTCGGATGTGACAAAGGAGAATTTGTTCTGTAAGTCGGCGTCAACGCAGCGCTATAATCTCGCTCCAACTTGCACTCGTGCTCTTCACATGTGTTTATCCTTTACCAGTCACGCCGTACACTCGGAACACACACGCGGTGCGAAAGTGCCAGCCCGAACAAGATCTTAAAATGCTACGATGGCTCTGGCCGAAAGCACAGATTCGCCAAGTGACAGTCAACGCATGTCGCAGTTCGACTGAGGGGAAAGTCATGCTTCTCGCGCAATTCACGTCTCCTTGCATCGCGATAATACGCCGTTGCAATTGTACTATACGTGCGCGGTGCGTGAATCTACGCGTGAGTCATAATATTTCCTACAATTGGCATGCGGCCTGAGAAAGAGTACGGCAATGATATGTTTGGTGCCGCATACTACAGGCATACTGCACGCAAATCGCTGCTGTATAGCAGAATAGCTGGCGTCGCTATTGAATAATCACAATAAGTATACTTACTCGTACACCGTTGCTGGGCTCGTAATAGTTATTTCTTGCCGATTGTGATTACATGCACTGGCGGTGGAGCTCGGCATTTTTTTTTTTTTTGTTGCAGATGCAAGTCTGTGCAATTGAAAAACACCGCACCGGTATGATCGCCGCATAGCGGCGAGATTCCTCACAGGCAGTGCTGAGCAATAACTTGCGCGGGTCGCTTTCGCATTCGAGGACAGTGCAGTGGTGCCCAGACGACTTCTTGTAAGCGCGGTAGTTGGCGTCGCGCTTAAATACACGAAATAGGTCTACTTACTCGTGCGTATACTAGGCTCGTAGTTGTTTCTGTTCACGGAATTTATCCATTGGCGACGAAGCTCGGCACTTTTTGTTGCGGATGGAAATCTGTGAACGGTGAATACACCGCACTGGCATGACTCCCGCCATGTGCTGTGAGCTTCAGCAATATCTTCCTCTTGCGCCGGTTGTTGTCGCATCCGAAGACGGCGCAGTGGTACCCAGATGACCTCTTATAAGCTGGCGCAGCGTGAACAGACGCTTTTTCGCATTTTGATGTCTACTGCTCCGTGCTAGCGAAGCACACCTTGGCAGTTCAAAACCAATTATGGCGTCTCTGGGAGTGAGAGCATACCGCCGAAGGTACCAGGGTGCGAGATGGGCGTTCTCTCGCACATACCGTATTGTTTATTACTTGGTTTCCACCTCTTCATTTCATGTTGTTTTTTTTCCCGCATTGCACCGTGTTGAACCTGCCTTTCCAGTTCTTATCGCATGGCGCTCAGGGCCCAGGGGTTACGACCATGTGCTTAAAACACACATGGCCGCATTCTGCTCTCTGACCTTTCATCTGATCATGAGAATGGCGTTTTCCCAGTGGGGTAAAGAAAGTTTTTCTGCACTGACTAAGCGTCAACGCTTTCCGAGGACATGTGAGTTTGCCCTGCCTTTCTGTAGCGTTTGTGCTGTCAGCCTTGCCTAAATAATTTAGCACGCGCCTCCTAGCTACACTGCAACTCGACGAGCATCAAGACTGGTCAGTCAGCGTATCACCAACAATATTCTGGAAAGTACAGCGCATGACTATCGAGCATAGCTGTCTGCTAAGTTGGTGCACCTTATAAGAACAGCTTCTATAAGTTACACATTTCTACCTCTGCGGCATAGTTCGCAAGAAATGCGGCTTAAATTGGAATGTATCGAAATGTGTGGTTGCGCGCACAAATCGGCCTTCAAAAGTGTGGCAGCCCCATGTGTATGTGTCTTGTTCTAAGAAATGATGCATTCTCAATCGCGGGCTTCTCGGGGATTAGCTGTTTTTGATGTTGAAATCTGATCTTTTTTATCAGGTTTCCTCGCAATTAAGTTTCAATTGTCACACTTAATTGATACGTTATATTGTTGCATGTCATTTTTTCGTAGATGACGATCATTTTTTCATGTAGCAAACGTTATACTTTTTTTTTATTTCGCAACTCGAGCGTTGAGTTGTTAAGCATGTGGGTGACATGGAGGAAGTCACAAGTTAGAAGGGAGCATTGTGCAATGCGATGAAAAGAAAGAAAGAAAGGAAGAAAAGATTTGATTGATATGTGGGGTTTGACGTCCCAAAACCACCATATGATTATGAGAGCCAACGTAGTGGAGGACTCCGGAAATTTCGACCACCTGGTGTTTTTTATCGTGCACCCAAATCTGAGCACACGGGCCTTCAGTATTTCCGCCTCGATCGGAAATACAGCCGCCGAAGCCGGCATTTCATCCCACGACCTGTGGGATGGAAAAAAGGAAGGAAGGAATGAAAGAAAAAAGGAAGGAAGGAAGGAAGGAAGAGAGGGAGGGAGAGAGGGAGGAATAAATAGAGGAAGAAAGGAAATGAGGAAGGAAGGAAGGGAGGAAATGAGGAAGGACGAAAAGGGGGAAATGAGAAAGGAAGAGAGGAAATGAGGAAGGGATGAAATGAGGAAGGAAATGAGGAAATCAGGAATGAAGCAAGTAATGAAAAAAGGAAATAAAGAATGAAGGAGGAAAGGAAGAAAGGGATAGAGGAATGAAGGAAGGAAATAAGGAAGGAAATAAGGAAGGGAGGAATGTAAGAAGGAAATAAGGAAGGGAGCAAATGAGGAAGGGAGGATATGAGGAAATGAGGAAGGAAGGAAGGAAGGAATGGGGGGAGAAATGATGAATGAAGGAAATAAGGAAGGGAGGAAGGAAGGAAGGGAGGAATGAAAGAAGAGAAGAAGAGAGCAATGAAGGAAGGAAATGAGGAAAGAATGAAGGAAGGTAATAAGGAGGAATGAACCAATGAAGGACACAGTAGTTAAGGCGATTAGCTGCAACCTTCGCTTGCCCGTCTTTTCCGGGTAAGTGAAGGGATTCTAACCTTTGTATTGTAATAAAGTGATTTGCACGTATTATGCCCTATACTTTCTTTCATAATTTCAACCTTTCAGTCTAAATTCGAAAGCTGAGAAAACAATCTGGTCATGATCATAAAAAAGAAAGCGCCCTTTCGTTGCAACGTTCTGAGGACGCTTTCAGTTAAGAATGACATTGAAAGAGTCTCTCAACTGTACAGTTTATTGAAGTTTAACGTTATCCCAAGGTGACGCACATTACGACCCCCCCCCCCTCCCGCTAATATTTTACCGTTTGTGAGTCGCATGTTCCTGTTGGAAGGTTAACGACTTCACACATTTGCGAAGCAGAGAATCCTTGAGGTGAATGTTCTCGCAGCTATAACAGTGGAAGGTAATCTTCAATTCGCTTTCTAGATTCATAGAAGTAGTATCTCTGTTTCATCAATTTAAAAAGCAGCTTGACGTATTTTTCCTAATAAGAAAGATAAAATGGAATTCTTTATTAGCCACTGCTAATAAAGACGTAACGTTCTTGTTTTGAGGGGGGGGGGGGGGGGGCTATTCATTGCGAACTGCATAACTGAATATTAAATGGGGATAATGGGCAATATACGCAATCATTTTCTATTTCTTACAGCCTTATCCCCACCATAGGTTTCATTGCCCTGCAGAATATTTGTGAGGTGGAGCCCCACGCGCTAATCAAGTGACGGCATGTTCCCTTCGCCATTGGTGAGTGCTCAAAGAGCGGCCTCTGCATGCCGTCCATGACAAATGTCTAAATGTACAGCACACGGGCCACTGAATGCGCATTCGGCAAGCCACCCGTATTTCAGATTCGTAGCACGTGTCGCAAGAGAAAGAACTTCCTGGCGGCGTACGTATGCGGTCATTTGCTCCGTGGCGCAGAACAGGCAGGTCCCTCGTACGCAAAATCCGCAAGGCTAACGGTCACGCAGGCCGCAGTATCTACCGTTACCTGGGCATGTAGGGGTGCAGCCTCTACAGGCTTAACGATAAGCAGTACACCCTATACAACCGGCTAAAGGAAACGACTGCCAGCTGTTCGAGTTTACCGGCTGCTTGAGTTACCAGCTGCTTGAGTTCCGGTCTTATTAGAGCTGATCTGCTAAGTCCCCCCCCCCCCTTTTTTTTTTTAAATGGTCCGTACGTGGCTTCCACACAAAGGTAGATACCATGCCTATACGATCGCTGGGGCCACAGTTCGGAGATCGCATTCCTGTTAGAATCTATCACGGTGACCACTTTGATAGAGTGCATTCCTGCTGGGTACATGAAACGTGATATGCTGAAGTATACGTGCAATGTGGCGCGCGTATACCCTGCGTTTGTTGGAATGATTCATGTCAGCGCGTCACTTACCTGGAAGCGAGTGTACGTACATACCCAGTCGTGTTGCGTACAGTCCAGTCATAAGCGCCGCCCGCGACGCCGTACAAATGGGGTGCGTGTAGTAGTTGTTGAGCACCACGCCATCTGCAGCTAGGGCATCTATGTTGGGTGTCGGGATCTGACTCGAGCCGTGGAAGCTGACGTCGGCCCAGCCCTACGGTAGTGATAACGCGTAAATTTTTGTAAGTTATTACATGCAGTATGCTCGTGTGTGCGTGTGCACACTGCATGCTGCAAGCAATACTGACCAACATATCGAAGCAAGGTGCATATAGCCTGAAAAACCCTAGAGAACAAAAAAACTGTTGTGCCAGATCACCTCTGGCTTCTGAACTGATTTTCTGTCTTCCGTCAACTACTTCCGTTAATGAAGTATTGCGAGACAGAAAACCAGTGCAGAAGCCAAATTTGTTAATGGAAGTTTACAATTGTATTTTCAGCGTCGCTTTAAAGCAAATAATGAAATATTGCTTACGAGGTCATCAGCGAGTATGAAGATGATGTGAGGTTTCTTGGTGGTTTGATGGGCGTTGATTAGCACGTAGACTCCGTAGATCAGCAGGGCTACGCAAGTAACGCTAGCGACCTAAAAAAAAAAAAAAGCAGTTAAAGACGCTGAGCATGGACCAACGAATACGACTTCAATAGCAATCAAGAAATTGTAACGCTTCTTTATACGTGATTGGTTAAGCCCACAATGATTATCGAGCAAACGGCTTCAAAGTGCCTGTTTTTTTTTTTTTTTTCGCAGGCTGTGAAATTTTATACACCTGTGTGGTTGCTTGAGTCAGGGAACGAGTACTGCACTAAATCGATCGAATATGGATGAGTGGATACAGGTATGTTGCTGAAATATGTCTTACACGAATATTTCTGTTCTGTATTTCCAATAATATACAAACTCTCAGTACCTATAAAAAAAGGTGCCGCCATATCCACGAAGTGAATGATGATGAGTGGGCGAAGCTCCTGAGGTAAACTTGGTAAACCACAAATCCTCCGTACATTTTTCCCACTCGATTTTATTACAACGCCCCCCTCCCCCTAGCGTACGTCTCCGCACTAAATCGAACTATTGCCTTCCACCAATGACACATGACATCATTCATATCTTATATCATCTCGCATCTTTCATCATCAACTAAATGTACCGCCGTCTAGTTTATAACATATTGCATCTTTTCATTGTCAGCTACAAGTACCGCCATTTAGTTAACACTGCAAGAACTAAACGAGAAATGGCTACATACAGGGGACGGCACCGCCATCTAGTGAACACTGCAAGAACTAAACGAGAGGTGGCTACATACAGGGGACGCACAGCCCACGCCTTAAGGAGCTTCGCCCCTAAAAGGTTCACATGATGTTCGTTCGTTATATCTCTTTTAGTGCAGCTCGGAATACAATACATGTCATTATCGTATGTATAGCACTCATGTTTTTCGGGCTATATATACACTGCAGGGGCATTAGGGTAAGCCCTAAACATCTTCTCACAAATGAATAATGCGCACAAGCCGTTCCTTCAATTTTCATTGCCTTAAACATTTATTAGGCATCGAACCTCAAAACACCACTGCTAAGCTCAAAACAACTCTTCTTTTTTTGTTGATATATCTGCAGTTTCAAAACCACTGGCGATGCATGTCCTGTGAAGGCACCAGAAAACATACCACGGTTTTTCTCGTTTCAATGTCAATGGAAGCTTATTCTCCCGTTAGATTTTACGACAACACTACTTCACGGGAACAAGTGTGCGAGTGCAACTTGCAACCTCTCTGCACCGAGCAGCGAGATCGTCTTTACTTTGCTGCATATGCAGCGTTTTCAGACTATAGAGCAACTATATAAAAAAAGAATTGATGTAAGACGGGTTGATACGTTCTTGCTTTTTTGAAAGAAAATAACGTATCTGCAACGTGTCTTCGGCACACATTGTGCTGTTTTGTCTGCGCAGATCTTCATCGAGGAGATATTACTGAAGTGATTTCCTGTGTTTCTGGTGCGCTGCACGTAGTCGCAGGGACATCTGCAAGTGACAAAAATGGTGGGAAATCTTCTTCAACACTGTTGAAATATATCTGTCAGCAGTTCTCGACCCTAAGGCAGGGAATCTTGCGTTTGCCGAGGTTCTCCAACGCAGGCGCTTTCAAGCAAAGGTGATCGAAGTTTTTACAAAATGTACACCGAGTCAGTCTCACCCAATTGAAACGGTCTGTCCACCATTCCAATAATTCCTTGTGTTCTCTTACGGAGCCCATATATGTTTTAACCTAATTGTGCTTGCCACAACCTGAGAAAAGTAGGGGGAGAGGATAGGAATGGGATGCTAGTCTAAGGTGAAACTCACCAACTATACGCTGCTCAAGCTCAAGGAAAGACAAAGGATACGAAGAGTGGGCAAGGGAATAGGAATACACAATGCACCCACATAAGCATTGTCTTTGGCAAAAGACGCTAAGAAACTCGAAATTGAGACTGTGTTAACCAAGCTTTAAGGTTGGGAATTATTGTCTTTGCTGACAGCAGGTGGCAGTTGCCAGCTTGCTCTCTCCTTCTTTTCGCTGTGTCCTTCTGTATGAGTGTATACAAATCAAATAAATAAATAAATATGGCAGGTTCAAAGATGCTGGCCGTAACGCCTTTTTACTGAACATTCCATACCGGATAGTTTATAATACGGTGTAACAAGAATATACATACTTCTTTTTTTCTTTTTCGATACAAAAACATAGGAGAGGTAAGCTGTGCTAGATTTGCCGATACAATAATTATAAAATCTACAGTATACATTAACGTAAACAAAAACAATAAATTTGCTGAAAAGCATTTTGTACCGATATCATAGCCAGTGTGTAAGCATACGCAGAATGCCAAACTGGACACATTCTCAAAAACTAGTGCTTGACATTGGAAAAATGAATATTGTTGACGAAAACAGAGGCACAATTACAAGTAGCACAAGGCAGCTTTGAAAAATATCTAATGCTTATACACGACAGCCTCTGAAAATGGAAAAAAAAAACTTTTTTCATTCAAGCTTCTTGAAAGTATTAAACAAAGTAAATAAGATGAGCCAAATGGCGCAAGGCAGCGAATCGCAAAGCTTCAGGTGCATACAACATTGTTCTAGCGCTGCTTCCTGAACAACAATATAAGCAGAGATATCAGAAAACAAGGTGGATTTGCGGTGCGCTTGATGCTTTTCGGCCGCACTCTTCCATATATTCCACCCGATCGTATGGACGCTATGCAACATACCGAAGCATACTCACTGCCACATTTCTCAGATTACGGTGTGCATCATAGTGGTCAGCACATTAGGGTGTTCTGTCAAACTTGTTTTCGGGATTTATTTTCATTCACTTTGCCACAACGCACTTTACATTTTGATTTCCAAACATCAATCTCCCTCACTGAAGTTTTACTGTTGCATTAAAACATGCTTTAACTTCCTCGTTCCGTGTGTACTTAATTCGGTAGAATTGTTTAAAAGGCTACAGTTCATCACAATTCAATATCCGAGTGTCCAAATTTGTCTTGGTAATAAGCATGAGATGATTTCACAAAACCCCGAAAAATGGCGCCTTGCGTCTAGTCATATTTGAAAAACTACAGAACAAAAGTATTGCACGAGCGCTCGGATGCGTCCTCGTGATAAGTGGAAGCTTCTTTTTTTTCTCACTGGTAGCGTGAACGACACCGTATTTAGTACATTCTTTTGACTGTGGGCGCCATTTCTATCATATTGAAAGCCATTTCGGTCTGATATTTTTGTTGCACTTAATCTTAGAGACTTCAAAAGATCGTTAGTACTCCAACGAGTCCAATCACGTTTTGAGCCAACCGTTCGAAACAATGTTTCGTGTTCATATTTTTTTCTGATTTTCTTTTAAAAGGACGGGGAGTGAAATAATACAGTTTTTCACAAGCTTTTTTTATTAGTGAATTCATGAGACTGAGGAGTTTAAAGCGTGTTTACAATTTTTATAACCATTATCCCACCAAGCTACTTCAGTTTTCGTCATTATACTGAACAAACCGGCTCATTTTCTTTTTCTTTTTTTTTTGTTCAGGAGTGCTGTTCTGTTTTTGCAATTCTTGCGCAGAATAAAATCATCCAGCCGTTCTCTTCACCTAACTGTGACGTGTACGTTGAGAGTGTTCCTTTTCCACGACTACATTCTTTTCTTATATTCAACTATTCAAAACCAGCCAATACCGGCTATGACGCAAACAGAGTGACGTAACAACGAGCGAAAAAGCGGTGAAAAGAATAAGCATGAGATTGGAATATTTACGTCCCACGGCACTAGTTTATTAGCAAATAGGAATATGCAAATTTCACCGCTGCAGAGTTCCGCCGATCGCAATCCACGCGATAGCTCGATATTGTCTCGCATATTTTAGCTATAGTATCGAAAATATTCGAGGTTATCCTTCTTTCACAGCATAAACTATAGCTAAAGCTTTTTCTTTTTTTTTTCACGCATTTCAGCTCGATGTTACTACGATCACAAGGTACGCCTACTATTCTTACACTCTCCTTTGGTTTTATGAATAAGCGAGTAGAACGCCCTTCTTCGTAACATTGCAAACATATAAAAAATAAACTTGTTTCCAATCAGCCCAATAATAGTACCTTTGTGAGCAGTCTTGCCCTACTAGCTGATTGGTTGGATTTCAAATTTTTATTTATTCTATGTATATTTCCCCCTAGATTGTACTTCTCGTATATTCATTGATCGCAATTTTATCGCTCTGTTCGACCTTGTACTGCTGAACTGCATTTGAGTTTTTCTTTTTACATCGTGATTGCACTATGCTTGTTAATTCATTTTCTTTATTTGTGCTGATTTCTTCTTTTACGGAGTTTTCTTTATTCGTTGCAATATATATTGTACCCCAACCCCCCTATGTAATGGCCGTTATCGGGCCCTTAGGGTCAATAAATGGAAATCAAATGAAAAAGTATTCATAACAGCTTACCTGCGTTTACGGAACCATGTCGTCAAGTCGATCTCGATCAGAGAATTTATGATAAGCGGGTATTTCGAACTAGTATAAACATACTAGTTCGAAAAACCCGAAGAATAGCCCAATTCGGGCTGCAGTATGTAAAAATAATTAAATAAATAAATATTCCTAGAAACTATGTCAATCAAAAAACGTTTACATTCTACGTTGCCAACCAACAAATAATAAGAGTAATAAAGTATCCTGATAACTATTTATCTAAAAAACAAATGACATATCCGCGAATGAGAGCGGGAACCACCGTACAGTACAAACAGCGCAAATATGCAAATGAATCACACTCTCTCCACAATGGAAAGTCAAGCATTGAGGGATTGTCTCTGCTCCATCTCATTCACGTGGCCGCCGGGCGCGCCATGAAATAAACAATCCCCGAGGGTAACTCCAGAGACCGAGAAAACCAAGAACGGCCCTTGATTGGCGCCTGCTGACGGTTGTTTTTCTCCGGCTCGCTACTTCGCTCATGGAAGCACCCTTTGGGGTGTCGCCAAAATAATTCATGAAAATGGATTTCTCCGCGAGTGCGTACGCTGAAGTTTGCGCCCGCCGATGTTGGTCCTGATTTTGCCGTAAACATTAGCAGCGCGCGAGTCGTCCCCAACGTCGCGTTTCGGTTTCGCAGCACGGCACCCGCGGGATGCGGGCCAACCTGTCAGCTTTTCTTTCATATGATAAACTTCTCTCTCCCTCTCTTTCTCTCTTTTTCATTGCTGCCACCGTGCACCATCTATTAAGAATAAACTGATGCACTTGGTTGGAAACTTTCGTACATCGTTGGCACCAGGCAAGCAAATGTTTCCTGTCATTTCCTTTATGCTAATGATGCGAAGCGACACCTATATAAGCAAATGGGCGAAGAAGACAATGAAAAAAAAATATTCAGCGTCTTGTCAAATGCAGCTTCAATAGCAAATTCACACTATGCTTGTTTCTTTGTTGGCTATTTACCGCTAATAATTTTCTTGTGGTACATATGCTATTGAATACCCGTTCGTGTACTTCTGCCAATATATTGCATTCATTGCAGTATTTAAAATAAATAGCTGCACTGTATCTAACGCAATCGTCTAAGGCGACACGAAGAGTGAACCCAAACCACCTTTCGTTTCTTTTCGGTCGATTTATTCGGTATCAGCCACCACGCTGCCATGAGCCTGTCGCTGCCATGAACACTGTCACCAACAAAGCGCACATAATACCTTGCAGGTGTGTCGCGGTTACCGCGCTTCTCCGAAGAATAACAAATAATAACAGAGTAGATTCTTCTCTACGTCACCAAAATTATAATTTATAGCACAGAGGGTACCTCCCAAGTTTAACTGCAACAGTTACCTTAAGGGTACTCGCAATGGTTGCCAAAGGGTGCCGTTAACAGATGCTCTTCAGGCATGATAGGGGAGCGAAATAACGAGTGGGTGTCAAACTATACGTAGCTAATGGGTCAACTAAAGCGGTCCAGGACATTAGAAAGCGCGAGGCCATATTACTTTATCACCATCAGCAACGTTATCAACAAAATACGCAGGATGACTTACAGATGTGTAGCGGATACTTAGAGTCTCTGAAGAATAACGAATAATGGTGTGGTGGGTGCCATGTAAGGGTGGTTGTTGCTTCTGCCCCATGATATAACTTTGAGAAAAAAAAAAGGCTCTAGAAACGCCACTCTCAACTTTTGTTGTGTCTGTGCTGAACATTCCGTGCACACCTGGTCTTTTACTTTCATTTCTTTCTTTATTCATTTACTTATTTATTTATTTATTTATTTATTTATTTATTTATTTATTTATTTATTTATTTATTTATTTATTTATTTATTTATTTATTTATTTATAGGGAATTTACACGTCCTCATCCACAATCGAGGAATATGTAAATGCTGCAAGGCTGATTTTCCGGCATTATTTAACTCCTATTTTTTCGCAGCGCTTGCCTCGATAATATAACCAGTTTCTCGTGAACGACTTTTACATGTATACACTGCAGCTGCCTACGTGCTACATGCCCGGCGTTTGTTCATTTCTCCTTCGTTTTAGGGGCGGGCCAATGATACTTTAAAGTTTGCAGCTATAAAGTGGCAGCAGAAAGCACAAGACCGTGTTGATGGGCGGATCATGGTACAGGCCTTTGCCCTGCAGTAGGCGCAGTCCGGCTGATGATTATCATGATGATGATGATGACACTGCGGCTTGGGTGGCAAATATATCACGGATTAAGCTTCTGCACTCATCATCGAACGAGTAAAGCCACTGTACTTGTTTTTTTTTCTTTTTGTTTCCTTCTTACTCTCGGACATTCTCACTATTACAGTATTTCGCCTCCCGAGAAAGCCCGAGAAAGATTTCAAGATGTTCCGTGCCATGCTGACAAACACACGTAATGTGAGCAATGTAGTACTAGAAAGTTTATCAGATTTGAAGCAACAACCTGCAGAGACCCTTACCTCCTTGACAGCTTCAACTTTCTCATCAATATATAAAATGTGACTGCTTACCAGGATGATGCATACTCTCCACCGAGACATTGCTAGGCCAGTGTATAGATATCTCGTGCTGAGAAAGGCTGAAAAAAAACGCACCCATATTTCTGCTTTAATTTAATGCACGCTGTATTGAAGACGCCAACCGTAAGCTGGTTCCGTATTCACGAACGTTTTTATTTGTATGCGATGCCACTATATGTAACTAGCTGGGCGATATTGGTCTTGTTCATTTCACAAAGAATCATGTCTATCATCTTCATCATACCTCCACGAGCACTATCCGAATCACTCGCTTGTTCTCCCTTGCGGTAAAAAAGTCCTTGCTGCAATCCACAAAATCCGTATTCATGTTACAGCATTGTGTTGAGTGGAGCCTGAAAAACTGTTATTTTGGAAATATCTGTGCACGTTTATTGCCTTAGAAATGTAATAGTCCACTTTTCGCGCCTTCATAAAAATTGTAATGCGTATGTAATATGCGCAAATGACAGCGTTAAAGTAAAATTACATGCGATTTAAAGCAAATATAGGTGGTTCAGCTATATCATTGGTATTGTTTTTTTTTTTGCAAAAATGATTGGAGAAGGAAATGAAGAAAACAGAAGTGGCATGTGGGACACGGAACACATTTGTAACGCACACTCCCTTTGCTGTGCAAACAACTTTGTTGCCAGTTAACAGAGCAGCTATGACAAAAGTTATACTACAGCACAAATTCCCACAAGTCCTCAGAACTGAATAAAAAAAAAACGCCAGGCCTGCGCGTACGGCGCAGCACAGTCACAGCGATAGCTAAATAAGCGACCTTTCAGAGCCTTTTCTAAACACTCATTGGGTAACTACTGCAAGCACACTTGCTTGATACCCGCTACGGCGTTGTTTATTAAATTTTTTGGTAGAAGGCTGGTATTCGTTGTGCTACTTGTCATTTTTCTGAGACTTTTGTGCCAATTGTTCATGCAGTAGCTGACGAAGATGAGGAATTATACCTGAAGAGCCCATGCGCCACAGTTAATAGGTTTAGAAATTTAACACCTTTTTATTATTACCTATATTACCTAATTAATCCAACCCTCTTTTTCAAGAAGTGAATTAATTTAAAAAGCAAGGCACCGTCCCATTCATGGCCTATCTCCCTAGGTGGGTTGCGCCAAGAAGTTGAGGAACCAACCAACCAACCAACCAACCAGTTAATAGGTGAACAAGAACAAGCTTTTGTAAAGGGTTAGAGCATTGGACGACCCACTCGTTACGCTATTCGCACAGTGCAACGACAGGTTGTTATTTCGCTGTTTTAAAGCGCTTTATAAGTTGTATTAACACGATTTCTTTCCCGACATAAAGCCTGCCTAAGGCAAGTTTGCCTAGTCCCAAGCACCGGCATAGCTCAGTGGTAGAGAGCTGGGCTGGCACCCAGCGGACCCGGATTCGAGCCCCACTGTGCATTAGTGCGATGTGGTTACGGACACCGGCGGCGGCGGCGGACAACTATGGCGGCGCGAGACTCTACTTGTGATCTCATAACAGCTTTCGCGGTAAAAAATGTTTGAAACAAGATCAGACATTCATTAACACTCCGTTAAAGCTCACAACAACCTTCCAATAATGTCCTGAGTAAGGCAGAATATCAGTGCCGTAGCCAGGTCAAACGGAGGAGTGCAATGCAATTTTCTCCCCCCACCCCCCCCCCCCCCCCCACCTTGAAAAATATATGCGGCCGTACCTCTGTAGTACACCTTATCACTTATTGTCGTCGGGGTACTCACGTTACTTGCTGGCAATCGGCTTCTGAAAATATGTGATTTTCGTTAAGCGCAAAAATACCACGACACAAGGGCAATGCAAGAAGGACACTTGCTCGGACGCCTAGTTCAAGCACGTTCAAGTGGCAGGTCGGGGCATCTGCAGCATGTGGTGAGGTAGGAGACCAGGGTCACCATTTGCTCAAACAGGTGTTTCATCTGCCGAGTTTCTGACGGAAATAACTGCGAAACAGCAATAAAGTATACACTCGCAGGGCTGTTTTTTACGAGCCACCACACTCATTTTAGGACACGCAAGACGCAAACTTATAGAGTTGAAACAAGCGTCGAGTCCAAACTATATGCCGCCGTGGCATTGCAGATCATGCAGCTGGTGGCACTGCAGGAAGAAAACAATTTGCTTTTAACAGCTCGTGAACGTATCCTAGACTAGGCGTGCAGGCAGCTGCTGCATCCGTTACCTGGGACATGTAAAGAAAGCTTAACAAGGATAGAACGCTGGCCCTACTCTGGTACATGCATATGTATACGGAGTCCACTATTCATTCGTTGACTCATTGTTGCGAACCCGTGTGCGTGTATTGGATGTCTTTTTAAAACGATAGTCTGTCTTGGGATACCTCACCACAATAATGTTGGTCTGTTTATGTGTCTGTCTATTTGCTGGTGTCTGTCCGACTACACAGCCTCCCAGCAAACGTCTCATCCCTTGCACAACGCACACCCATCTTGATCTGCCCGCTGCGTTCATACTTGGGAACATTGTCAATCAAAAATCAAATATTACACATATTTAACGCGTAAACGTAAACGCGTAAGAATTTGGCAGCGTGTCTTTTTAGTTAAAAATGAGTAGACACGAAAATTTAAACACCGAAGTGTTCATTACGCTGCACTGACAATACGACGCTGTGAACGAAGACGCGGGTGTTACTTATGCTTCGCTAAAAAAAATAGCAGCATATCCACGGAGTGAATGATGGAGAGTGGGGCGAAGCATTCGTCCGTCCATTCATTCTTGCTTCCGTCCGTCCATGCGTCCGTCTGTGTGATCGTCCATGCGTCCATCCGCCCGTCCGTGTGTGCGTCTGTTCGTGCGTCCGTCCCTGCGTTCGTCCATGCATCTGCCCCTGCGTCCGTTCATGCGTCTATCCATGCATCTGTCTGTGTGTCCGTTCGTCTATCTATTCAACACTCCAGGTACCACCATCTCGCATCTTTTCATCATATATTCCCCATATAGAAGCACCGCCATCCAGCGGACATTCCAAGGACTAAACGAGAGGTGGCACACGCACACTTTCTTACGGCTTGCGCTTCTGGTCTACTTCCCCCCTTAAATTACCTCGAGTTCATGGTATATACTAGTCCATTGTATTCATGGCACTGTGGCCGAACGCTCGCTAAACCTTTCTAAAACCAAGGAGGTTGCGCCGAGCAAGTATAACGTAGCAACCTTTTCCTGTCAGATAGTGCTCAATGTACCATACGAGCACACACCGACGGCAACGAGCATCGGCAACTACAAACCTGTATCGATATGGTTTTGATAATAAAACCATTGCTTTAGAAAACACCTGGCGTCTTTCGTTAAGCAGCTGGCGTCTTTTTTTTGTTTTGCTTTAGAAACATTTTGTGTCTTTTCTTTTTGCTGTCAGAAAACCTCTGGCGTCTTTCGTTGGTTTATTTCATCAATCAACGGCGTTTTCAACAAAATTTTTTTATTGTTTAATCACGCACAGGGCACTACCTTGGAGGTAAACAATGGCTGCTACTGGGAATCATAGAGTTTCTCAATGTACACTAGAGGGAACTCTGGTGCTTCAGCGAGCATGGGAATAATGGGTAGTACACACATTTGTCTAATTTTCGTACTTCTGGCCTGCTTCTGGGTCCGTGTGTGTCCGTGTGGCTTGAAGCTGTTTTTTCATGAAAACATAAATTAGCAAATGTTCACCGTTTGCGCTTCACAACCTTATTCTTTTAGGCTTACCATTTCGAATCAAGTCACTAAATGAAAAGGGTTTTTTTTTTTTCAAAACAAAACTGAAATACAGCCATAAACGAAGTCGCAAGTACGATTCGCCGCCCGCAAGTACGAAGACTAGGCAAATGTGTGTACTACCCATCATTTCCATGGTCGCTGAACGATCGCAGCGCCAGATTGCCCTGTATTTAATTTTGGGAAACTCTACGCTGTGAATGAGAGACAGCAGAAGTCGGCTTTTAACACTTCTACTTCTACTAACGTTTCCTACTGGAACATGAAAATGGCTGCTAATGAGGAATAAGAGGCAGGAGCATTCGGCTTTTAGTTAACGCGCACGCCGTGAACTTTTTATTGTTCAACAAAGCACAGGAGAAATCTCCCACTAGCACCACCTTGCAGGTCAAAATGTAACACTTGTTACGCACTACGACTACGAGGGACGAACGAGTGCCGCTTTAAGGAGCTTCGCCCCTAAAATTGAGGGGCTTTAACTAAAGCGACCTGGCGCTGCTACCTACCAGTGACTCTGCGTTCTAAACGACTTTTGTTTCTTCACATTACTGCCAGATCGTGCCATATTTCACGTAGCGCCTCCAGACAGACGACCATTGTCTTTCGACGTTCTTTGCAGTGAACCACGGAGATAACGCGGCCCATTTTTATTGATTTTTTCTCAGCCCATTAGTCACTTATAGCATACTGAAACTATATCCAATGTATGTCCTACCACCAGAATTACTTTGTCAAGTTCGTACTTGCTTACGGCAATTTCGTCGATATTGTGTGTGCGTATAACTTTACGCCATCTTTAGGTGGAACAAAGAAACTGTGCCTGCAGTGGTCATGTGGCTTGATATTTCGCTCTCTTGCTCAAGGATGAAGTTTTTCTCTCAGACACTTGGAATACTGATAACAAAATTGTTATTAGTGTGGTTAAGTTACAGAAAAAAAATGCTCCTCTCCAAGATGACAAAATACTGTGAAATGCATTTGGCAGCGCTCTAGAACACCATTTGAGCAGAAAATTGGGTCTTAAAATTAATATTCAGAAAACGAAAGGAATGCACAACAACCTCGGAAGAAAACAGTGCTTCGAGATAGGCAATTGTGCATTTGAAGTTGTGAATGACTTCATCTACTTTGGACGGCTGATAACCGCAGAGCCAAACTACGAGTTTGAAATAACTAGAAGAATAAGAATGGAGTGGAACGCATTCGTCAAGCACTCTCAAACCATGACTGATAGATTGCTACTATCCCTCAAGAGGAAGGTTACATCTTGCCGAGCAGCATCTTGCCGGTACTTACCTTCGGAGCAGAAACCTGGAGGCGTACAAAGAGGGTTCAGCATAAATTGGGGACGATGCAGCAAGCGATGGAAATGAAATAGATAGGTGTAACCTTAGCAGACAAGAAGACAGCAGATTGGATCAGGGAACAATTCAGGGCTAAAGATATCATAGTTGAAATCAAGAAGAAGAAATGGACACAGGCCGGACATGAAGCGCGTAGGCACGATAACCAGTGGTCATTATGGTAACTGATTGGATTCCCGAGTAGGCAAGCAGGCTACGGGTAGACAGAAAGTTAGGCGGGCAGGTTTCGGCAAAGATATACCCGACAGTGTCTGCGTCATTTTTAGGGGGGGGGGGGGGGGGGGTAACAAGCGAGGTGCCACTAAGTAGCATCAAAAGCTTTTTTGGGCTAGTTGATGCATTCTTGAACATATATCGCCAGGCTGTGCTAAAAATAAAACGACAAAGAAAAGCATTTTTGCACCAGTCCTGCGTAATTGTCTTTGTTACTCCAGGTTTTTTCGCGTGGCCCTGTTGTACGTTTTCAATATGTGTGACTGAAGAATAAGTACTCAAACTTCACCATCACCGATGAAATGATTGCGAAATGACTAAAATTGATGCTTTAATACCAGTGTCAGTGTTTTCGCACATATTTGTGCAGTATTAATTTTTAATGTAACCACAGGGCTGTTTACATTTAGTCCTTTCAAGAAAAGTCATCGAAGACGCGTGAAGAAAGTGCAACTTTTGCAAGAATACAAGAAACTTCACAGCCCGTGCGAGATGATTGCTAAAGATATATGCTTGAATCTTGCAATTTCGATTGTAAGTGGTCATTTATTTTCGCGACAAGGGTGTCGCATTTGGTTATTTGAATGATAGCGTCATACTTGTTACTACACACGCATGCCTATGTTTGCCTACGTTTACTGAGCTTGGCTCGAGTTGGCTATACTTAAGGGCAAAAATGACAAACAGCCCCCATGCGCTTACATCGGCACGCATTATCAATGTTCCCAGGGAGAATAACAAAAAAAACATCACCGCATATCCTCAAAGTAAATAATGATGAGAAGGCGGAACTCGGGGATCACTTGCACGCTATGAACCACATAAAGCAGAAAACGTTTCAAATGTCCATGTATTATCGGCATCAAATGAAACGTGAACAGCGGAGCACGTGGCACAAGCCTTATCATTGACATAGTGCACGCCGTCCACCAGTCATTGGCACAGACAGGCCCGCACATCCGGTGTGGCCGCACTGCACGATCCCTCTATAGTGCATTATTTCTGCTTGTGTTCCAGGTATGGCATTTGAAAGGAACAAAATAAGAAACAAAACAAAGGTTAAACTACTGCAGCCGAAGCCGAGTATACTGTAGCACGGTTTGTCATCACGGAGTTGATAATCATGGAATTCCTGGCTAATTGTATGTAGGAAAGACAAAAGTCGGTTCATATACTGCTGGCGATCTCACGCTGTTTCACTTCGTGCCGGTAAAGTGAAACAATTTGCGCTTTCTCTTCCAAAGAAACGCTCCGCATTTCCAGTTAAAGTGACTCTCTGAAAAAAGGGTGCAGGTGAAGCAGCGCTGGCGAACGAGATGCGACGATCTTTTCAAAATCAACCACAAACCGATTATATTTCTCTTTTTGTTTTATCGTACCAAGTCAGCGATTGCACTGTGACGCTGAAGTGAAAGCAAGGAATCGCGAGTGATACGATCAAAAGTGTTTGCCACGTTCACGATGGCCACCATTACCACCATACGAAAACTAGAGCAGAAACGCAGATAACGCACTGTAGGGAGATCGCG